AGTAAAAATGTACATATTTAACATAGGTACAGATGGAGCCTGGGCTACAGAGTAAAAAAATGTCTCCAAAACAGTAACAACAAGGGAAAAAAAGAAAAAGAAACAGGGGTGGGGCTAGCTCAGGGATAGTACATGAGGCTCCAGGTTCATGCCCAGGACTGAAAAAGAGAGGGGAATCCACTAAGAATAAATAACATATTTCTGAAGCAATATAATGCAGTACAAACCTGAAACTGCCAATGACCGGTCTTAAGTGAGCCATAAGGAAATGCATCAGGTCCTGGCTCAGGCTCCTGCCAGCCACACCAAGTGTCATGTCTGCTGTCAATGAGCAGCAGGCCAGGGAGAGGTTTTGAAACTTGCATAGCAGAGCAAATCGTGGGTTCAAATCCCACCCCCGTTGTTTGTCAAGCGGCATTGCCGTTTGCTGCTTGACACTGGAGGCTCTCCATCTACCTAATGACACCACACCCAGCCCGCTGAGATCCAGCTCCGTGTGCATGAAATCAATGTAATGCGAACTCACAGAGGGACGCTCGAATCAGTCAATATGAATTATAGGGAGACAGCTCCATCTATAAAGTATCTGCCTTGCAAGCACCAGGAAGAAAGCAGGGCAAGGTGCTTTGCGCCCGTAGTCCCAAAGCTGCAGAGTTGAGTGGGCTGGCTGTCAGTTCAGCTACATGGCAAGTTCCTGTCTCAGCAAGAAGGTCAGTGGCACCAAGGAAGGACACCCAAGGTTGTTGTTCACACCTGAGCAACACATACATCTGTTCACCCACACAAAATGTGTAAACAAGTGGGTTTTTAAGGAGGGAAATTAGCATGCATTTGGCACAGACAATATTTTTGAAGTTCTCCATCTCTAAGTCTCCTCCCAAGGTGGCTCTCATTATCCCCATTTTATAGATTAGGAAATTGAGGCCCAAGGAAATTGAGGCTTAGGTTCAGCCACAGAAGGCATTATTTTTTTTTGCTCTGCTATACAGTTTCTGAATTCACTTGTAAATCACTTGTAAATTCACTTGTAAATCCTCCACCAGGTACTGAGTTGGACTTACAGGCTCTGGTTCAGGTCTGCCTCCAAGTGCCTAAGGTCTCAGCATGTTCTAGAAGGGTCCCCTCAGCTTACAGGACATTGTTCTAGCTCTGAATACAGGCCAACACAAAACTGTACAGTCAGTTACAACATTATATTGTTTGGGAGAAGGATTTTTCTTAAAAACGTAATAGCACAATTGTCTAGCATGAACTTTATAGATGACAGCATTGTTCTGGCAATGTCAAAAGGCTGGACACGCCTGTCTGGATTCTCAGGCGTTTCTTATCTCTCCCTTACCCATACTTTGAAGGATTCTGAGATCAAAGCTGAAGCAGCACGGCTGCGATATATTAGTCACCTTTCTCGTCTGTGTGACCGAACCCTGACAGGAAGCAATTTAAAGGAGGGAAGATTTATTTGGTCTCATGGTTTAATACAGTCCATCAGAGGGCCCGGGGAGTGGGGGCAGGCAGCTCATCACTGCATGCATGAGCGCCTTGCTTACATAGGCCAGGATCAGGAAACAGGGACCACGACAGGAAACGTGGCTCCGTGTAACCCTCAATTTCCACCCCCATAGTGACTCAATCCCACCTCCTTAAGGTTCCAAATAACGCCCCCTGCAGGGCTACTCATTCACACACATCAAGCTGCAGGAGACAGACAGTTCATAGCTACACTTTATGGTAAACACTTTTCCCCTTGGCCGAGCCACAGCATTCTCTGTTGCTGAAGCTGTCCACAAACCCTCAGGATGGAGTAAGAGGAAACAGTTTCTAATTCGGCACAAGGCCCAGAATACCTTAGCAGTCCTTAGCAAGCCATGAACATGTCTTCATTTCAGGTTCCAATGGTTCATTGCTTGTTTAGATAGGGTCTCATGTATCCCGCAGTAGTCTGGAACTTGCTGTAGAACCAGGGATGATCCTGAATGTCTGATCCTCCTACCTCCACCTCCGGGGTGCTGAGTTTACAAGTGGGCGTCACCACAGTTAGTGAATGCAGTGCTAACTGAGCCATGTCTCCAACCCCATCCTATTCTGCTTAAACACCATCTCCTTTGTCCTCCCTGAGGATTGGCATTTGTTTTTCTCCTTCCGTGTGCCCACTCCCAGGAGAAGCCCATCTCCACACCAACCAAAGTTTCCTCCCCCAGCTAAGACCTTAAAACCCAGAGTTAATCAGTAAGAGGGGAATCGAACCACAAAAATTACTCTTAAGTCACCCAAGGGAGGCACAAGCCTGATGGGTCCAGGAGGATTAAAGATAAGGAGATGAGATTTAGGCGATGCTGGCAAGAAAGGATTGGAGACAGCGCAGGAGCAGTGGCTGGAGGCACAGGCTCCCTGGGAAGTCTGGCTTGAGAGTGATTTTCAGAGATCCTTGACAAGCCCTTGGGCCCTTTCTCCCAGGGAAGGCTCTCCTTGCCTTTGAAAACATGGCCTGATTCCTATTTCTTACTCTGTTGTTTCCACAATGTTTCAAGGGAGTCCCAACAGGCAGGAGAGGCTGCACCCTGACTCTGAGCTTCCTGTTCCTGACAGACCTGACTCTTCCCTTCCTTTTACCAGCTTTCTATTCTTTGTTTCCTCTAAACCAGTGGCCCTCAACGTTCCTTATGTTGTAACCATTTAATATGGCTCCTCATGTCATGGTGACCCTAAACCATAAAATCATCTTTGTTGTCCCTTCATAACTGTAATGTTGCTACTGTTATGAATTGTAATGTAACTATCTGTGTTTTCCAATGGTCTTAGGCAACCCCTGTGAAAGGGTCCTTTAACCCCCAAAGGAATTGCTACTGACAAGTTGAGAACCACTGCTTTACATGTTATTTATTGTGTTGGTGGTGTGTGGAGAGGTGTGTGTGTCACATATGGTAGTCAGAGGCCAGCTTTTTGTTTGTTTGTTTGTTTGTTTGTTTGTTTACATTACATCCTGACCACAGCTTCACCTCCCTCCTTTCCCCCAGTCTCCCCACTCCCCAGTCCCTCCTTTTTCCTCTGAGACAGGGAGGCCTCCCATGGATATGAACCCACCTTGGCAAATCAAGTTGGAGTAGAACCAAGCACATTTTCTCCTATTGAGGCTAGACAATGCAGCCCAGTTAGGGGAAAGCATGTTAAAGACAGGCAGCAGACTCAGAGACAGCCTCTGGCCTTGCTGTTAGGGGTCCCACATGAAGTCCACGTCTGTTACATATGTGCATGGGAACTGTGTCCCAAGTATGCTCTTCAATTAGTAGCTGAGTCTCTATGGGCCCAGGTCAGTTGATTCTATAGGTTTTCCTGTGGTGTCCTTGACCTCTCTGGCTCCTTCAGTCCACCGAGAGGCCAGCTTTTAAGAATCAGTTCTCTCCTTCCATGATGCGGGTCCCAAGGAGCAAACTCAGGATGTCAGGACTGGTGGCAAATTCCCTCACCCATGAGCCATCTCACCAGCCATGATTGTTTTCTGAATGCTTTGTTTTGAGACTAGGATCTCACTGTGTAGCCAAACTATGCTTCAAACTGACAATTCTCCTGCCTGCCTTCAGGTAGCTGGCATTACCAGCATGCACCACCACACCTAGCTTCTCCAGTCTTCTTTGTGTGAACATGCAAGTATGTGGAGGCCAGAGGTCAATCTCAGATAATCTCTCTCCAGGACGCCATCTACCTGGCTGGTCTGGAACTCCCCAAGTATGCTGGGCTGGTTGGCCAGTGAGGCCCACGATCTGCCTGTCTCTTTCTGCCCAGCTCTGGGGCCAGAGGTGTTTGCCATGATGACCAAATGTTTTATGTGGCTGGAACTCAGATCCTCATACATGTACAGCAAACACTTTCCTCACCAAGCCTCTTCCCAAGCCCCTAACCTTCTTTAATAGCTGAACTTGAAAAGGTGGGTTTCCTAACACCCCAAGCAGAGCATATACCACACACAGCACACACACACACACACACACACACACACACACACACACACACACACACACCTGTGTGCCTTTTGTCTGTGGCAATTCAACCTCCACCCAGGCCTTTTAAGTGAACTGAAAGTTGCCCAGGCCCCTAACAGTCTGATTGAGATGTCAATTCCCAGGATGCTGGCTCTGCGACTCCACCAGGCAACAGCAATCCCTCTTGCAGTCACCCCCACGCCCTGTTTAGTTATGACACGTCTGTGGTGCCCCTATGTCGAAAGCTGGGTCCCTGGCTGGTGGCTCCATCGAGATGTGACTGAGCCAGCTCAGTTGGGTAAAGTGGCGGCCTTGCAAGCATGAGTGTACATACTTAACATAGGTACAGATGGAGCCTGGGCTACAGAGTAAAAAAATGTCTCCAAAACAGTAACAACAACGGAAAAAAGAAAACCAGGTGTGGGGCTAGCTCACCACAGCCGTGGTGGTGGGTGTTGTGGCGGTCGAGACAGGTGCATCGCAGTAACTCCCAACCAGCCTAGACTACTGGGCAAGTTCCCAGCGGGTAAGCACCCCTGCCTCAAAACAAACAGACGAACAAAAGCAAAGTGGGCGGTGCCTGAGGAATGACACCCAAGGCTGTCCCCTGGCCTTCATGTGCACATGTACAAGCGAGATACACACACACGCACGCACGCACGCACACGCACTGATCGTGGGGAAGCTCTGAAACCGCATTCTGTTAGTATTGGCTACAGAAAAGGGCTGACAGTGGTTGGTCGGTGTCCTTTTTGAAACTCATTCTGGAATGTTGCAGACTTTTGTCTCTGAAACACAGTGGCTGCATTATATCTAGAAGGCTAAACCTTTCTCTGAACTTCCAACAGACCACGGTTCTACTAGGGATGGTTCACCATCTCACACCTTCCTCCAGAAGTTTCTGCCCAGCTAAGAACCCAATAGTTTCCGTCATCCGAGTTGATCACAGCCTATGCTGGTCGCAGAGGTCGAAAACCTTCCTCACGATCTCTCTGTTCTCTCTCCTCCCCACCCTGACCCCAGTTCATTCGCAGAAGCAGAACCGGCAGACCTGCGTCCGCAAGAGCCTCATATGCGCCTTCGCCATGGCCTTCATCATAAGCGTCATGCTGATCGCAGCCAACCAGATCCTACGGAGCGGCATGGAGTAGCCTCCCACCAGCCACACCGCGTTGCCAGCTCACTGCGCATGTGCATGCCCTGCGGGCAGACTCTGTTCCTCCACACGGGAGATCTGGACCTATGGATGGACGCAGGTGTTGGTACAGTTCAGTGAAGAACTCAAGTTTGCAGTGCAACCGGGGTCACGGATCAATTCCTTCTCCTTGGCAGGGACACTAAAGGGCTGTCTTCAATGCTTTCATGGTCTTGTTTCCCAATGCAATAAATAGCCCGGAGTTCTCAATTATTGCTTCAACCGCCAGTAGCAACTCCGAAGGGGGGAAAATACTGCTTTCTTTTCGTCTTGGAATTCCAGTAGCCATCCAGATATCATGGTGGCATCAGAGAGCGAGAAAGAAAGAGGTGTGAGCAACAGTCACCTCCATCCACGCCCCGATTCTGTCAACCCAGGGATCCAGAGACTCCCTGCAGAAGCTGACTTCTGGGTTGCTACGGAAAGGGGACTTTCCATCTCACCCTGGCTTCCTTCCTCCACTCAGTGGAGACCCCTCCCCCCACGGCATGAGGGGGAAAGCCATTAAGCAGGGTGCAGCTCCTTGCAGTCACTGCGTTCTTATTGCCTTTTCTACAGGACTCCTGCTGGGAGAGCTGGGGCGCTCTCGGTTGGTTTCCATGGCACTTGGCTTTCTGTTCCTGAAGTCCATCCCGCACCAGCATCTTGGAATCTGCAGAGAGCCTGGCTCCCAGCTTTCTTGCCTGTGCCGTCATTATAGGGTTAAAAAAAAAAAAGTATGAAGACCCATAACTGGGTGTCTCTATAACCCAGACACACAGACAGACAAGAGACTTCTCCGTGAGTGATGCCCTTCTCCCTAACTGCTTACTTTGGACTTGAACTTGTCCTCTATCTCACACCCATCCCTGCTACTTTGGAGCAGAGGGTGAAGCGATTGGGGTAGGGGAGGGATTGAGCCTGGCGGCAAGCAGGCCCACACTCCAGGCATCTGAAGTAACAGAGCTCCTCTGAGTTGCCATACTAGACAATATCTGTAAGTTAAGATTGCCGTACAGCTAACCCTTCCCTCATCTTGGACTTTATTACTGAGTCTTTCCCCGGCTAAGAAAGAGACCTAGGACCTGAAACAGAAAGAGGGAAGGATCAAATTGCTGTGGTTTTGCTTAATATTTGATATTCAGGTTGTCCCAGTGACTCATTAGAGAGAGAGACTGATGTGACAGAGACTTAGGCAGCATCCTGATCACAGAACGTGTTTGCTGGGGCAGAGGACTGAAATCAAGCTCTGTTTCCAGGGGCAGGCCAGGTGGCTCACGTCTTTGAACTTTCCTGGCTTCACTCTTAACGTACAGCCCAGTGGTCAGATCAGCCTATTAACTACAGATGTACTAACTCCCTTTGTCTTTATTCCTGTAATGACATTGTCCTGCTCCTACTTTGGATCTCAGCCAGAAGCGCCCCAATTCCCTTTTCTCTGTCCTCCTGCCACACCGAGGCTCTAGCAGCTTTGCTTGCTCCGTCCTGCTGGGTAGGTTTTTATGGTGCCGTGTGTATTCCCCTAGCCCACTTTCCCTCTCTGCTCCCTCCTTACGACTTCTTAGACCAAGATCACGCAAGGTCTCCCCACAGGGTCTTCCTCCCGTTCACCCCTACAAGCGCTCCGCACAGTAGTGTGGGCAGCTGGAGATATTTTCCCACTTCGGGTGTGAACATTCACCAAGAGCACAAGTCAAACTAGCTTTGAGCCATAGCATACGCAAGAGGGAGCAGGTCGGAGGTCCCAAGAGCCCAAGGGGCACAGTGTCACTTCATAAAACAGCCCAGAGTCTGGAACATCCAGGCAGTGGCCTGCCTTCCCCTCTTACGGTGCCCTTTGCAAACCTGCCCTTTTGGTTTCTTTCCTAGGCTGAGTCATCAAGGTCCCCTTAGGACCAGACTCCCGAACTAGTACAGGCAAAGACACAGAATATTAATACACTGCACAACTTCCCACCCCCTTAGTTTCTTCCTGGGGCAATTGCCTGCTCTCTGCCGGATGTAAGCCCGAAGACAACCATAGCTGGCAGCAACGTGCTTCCCTCTTGTTAGCTGATGTTTGGACCTTCTCATCTGGAGGTGCAGGGCTCTAAGGACCTGAAAGGGGCAGATGCCATGCCACGGCTGAGATTAGCCCTCGAGGTGGAACATAAGGACTTCCTCAGATGTTGCTTTTCTGCAAGATCTGCCCCATACCGAAGGATGCTCATCCCAAAAGATGCAGGGTTTAGATTTCTTCCGTGATGAGCAGAGATGTGATAAATGCCTGCACCTTATAAGGGCATGTGAGCACCCCGTGCTCCTCTCCCCGTAGCATGGAAGGAACAACAGGAAAGAAGCCATCACATTCCCTCCCATGGCCCAGAAGCTAATCTCCCAGCCACCTCCTCTTCTGAGGCACCCAGGGACGGAATACAGCAGTACAGAAAGCCTGGTCTAGTGGTGTTCTTTTGAAGACTCAGGGGTTGAGAGTATGCTTAGGTGGCCTGTGTCTAGCTGCTTTGCTTGTGTTATCTGTCTTTGGCATATTTAGGGCGTTGGGCTTCTTTTTCAGGTAGCCCTACTCGCAGGCCTGTTCACACAAATGCTACCGAGAGGTTCCCTGCCACCTAACTGTAACTGGGAAGGAGCTGGTTGGCTGATGGTTCCAGAAAGTTCTGCCTCCTCATGCTGAAGGAAAGCCATACATGTGCAGCCAAGACACCCTTGGTAGGAAAGGCAGGGGATCAGCCTTTGCTGCCATGCCTGTGACTGAATTTAGGAATTGGTGACAAAGGCTGCCCAGTCGTGAGGTGACTCGATGCCTGGCTCATTCTTGCTGCCAGCTCAGCTCCACACCCTCAGACCTCCATGAACGACAGAGACCAGGACATCATTTTACCTGGGACAGAAAGACAAGCTGACTCAGAATCCTTTAACCTACAAACAAGCTATCCCCTCACTGTCCCAGATGTAGACCGAATCCCCAGTTGGACTCTACATGGGAACTGTTAACAGTGGCTTCCAGAGTGCAAGCAAGTTCCATGCAACATCTATACAGGGGTTTCCATGGCAACCATTGCATCTACCTTGAGTTTGCCAAGGCACAAACATAGGTAACACTTTCTTAAAAAACACTCTAGACCCTACCTGCCTGCACTAGGACTCCCAGAATCCATCTCCTGCTGAGATGGGTAATTAACCTCTGAGAATATGCATGACTTCCCTGCATTTTTCCTATTGTATTTGAACTTGTCCTCGCCCCCCTAACTCAGGAGAAAATGAATAAGCCTTGTGTGGGTAGCCTCCTGACCTCTACCCTTTATCTCACTTTCAGAACAAGACTCTCTAACACATGGGGGAGGGCAATAAAACCACCCCACTACATCTGGCAGGCAAAAACACATGTTAAGCCCACAATCTGTAAAAGTATTTGCTTGCTTGCTGAGACTCTCCTTCCAAAGAGCCAGAAATAAGAACGGAGGAGTACTGTGGTTTTCATGAGTTCTCGGGCAAGCTCAGTGATTACAGGAAGTTCTGGGTGATGTATATGCAGATACTGAGACCTATACTAGGCATCTTCCATACCTGCTTCTATCTCAGAGTTTACATGACAAGTGGTCTAGTGTCTGAAAGGATGGAATAAAAGAAAGGAAGGAAGAGAGAAAGAAAGAAAGAAAGGAAGGAAGAGAGAAAGAAAGGAAGGAAGGAAGGAAGGAAGGAAGGAAGGAAGGAAAGAAAGAAGGAAGAAAGGCAGCTTATGTTGAGGAGAGCATCCTTCCTAGCCCTCAGCCACTAACTCTCAAAGTGACTGAAAAAGATCTAAAAGCAGGGAGGCAGCTGGCTCTTATTGCAGCCTCCTCCTATGGGCTCAAGTCCAGACTCAGGTCATAAATCAGAGTGTTGTGTACATTGTTTTTTCTTTGAATCAGAGACTGGTCATGTCTCTGGGACCCTCTGAGGGCATCGTCAGCAGATGCACAAGGTGACAGTTGGGGCTGAGCTAACTTGGCTGTGCCTGGCTGTGCATGTTGTACGTGGAACTGTTTCCTTGTGTGCCCTTGGTTTCTCTCTTAGTGAAGAGTGCTAAGTTTTGTACCTCAAAAGCATATTAGGCCATGTCCCTCAAGGTCCACAGCTACCCTCTCTACCCTGTTACCTAAGATACACAGAGAGTCTGGAACCTTCTTGTGAAAAGGGTCCTTATTTTTATATAATGCTATGATAACGATACAGACGTGCTCTGATGAATCTTCTAGACTTTGGCACATACTGTTTCTATGACCAGGAGGACCACAGAACCCCACTCCCTGGGAAGCATCCATCCCAAACAACTTCAGATCAGCATTTTTTCCACTGGCCTCTTCTAGGATGCCCTACAGGGCTGAGAGTCCAGAAATCACAGCCATTTTCCCTCCCTCCCCGTTGACTCATTGGCTCCCCTCCTCCTCAAGAAGACAAGCCCATCTAAAATAGAAGAGCTATGCAGCCATTAGAGTTTTAATTTGAATTATTTATAGTCGAGACAGAACAGAAGCTGGGCCACCTCATCCTGTCCCCATCCCCACCATCATGTACATGTCACAATTGCTTAGCTTCATCCCATCCGCATTTTGACTAACTCACTCAGGGGACTGTTCTCAACAGTCACACACAGTCGGTTTGGGGAAAGGGGTCAGGTTGTACCAGCTAACTAAGCCTTCTCTTAGGATCCTAAGCTCACTGCAGATGCATACCATCATGTTAAAACCAATGGTTTATATTTAATATGTTCTAATTTAAAATACCACCAAGAATGGGTGATTCAACCAGATAGGGGAGAACATGCCTGTAATTCCTGGTACTTGGCAAACTGAGGCAGGAGGATCGATTGATGTTCAACATCTGCCTGTATTGTAGAGCAAGTTCTAGGCAGCCCAAGCTACATAGGTAAGTTCCAGGCAAGCCTGGGCTATGTACAGAGCTCTGGGCTAGCATGAACTAACATAATGGGGCTACCTCCCTTTAAAAGAAAAATAAAAATTAGTGGGTTTTTTTTCCCTAGTTGTACAAAACAACCCTTTGTACTTCATCATTACTTGCCTGGGTAATTTGTCAATTGAGGACACCCCACATGCAGGACATAGGGTCACAATTTTCTCCAGCTGGGATATCTTGGTATACGCTGTCAGAATTTATCCAAGCAGGGATAGTGGGGGATACCTATCATCCCAGGAGTTCAAGGTCATCCTCTACTACAGAACAAGTTAAGCTGCGTGTGAACACACACACACACACACACACACACACACACACACGAGAGAGAGAGAGAGAGAAGGGTAGGGTAGGGCAGAGTAGAGTAGGGGTATGAAGGGAAGGGGGAGTTACCTAAGTGGAAGGAGGCAGGGGCTAGAATTTTCCACAAAGTACAGACTGATTGGGAAAGATTAGCTCAGAGAAGGCAGACTT